AATGCTTGGTACTTAAATACTAGTAGATTTTCATTTTTTTTAAATTAAATTAAAGTCCACATTCATCAACCAAGGAATTGTTTTAACACTGCCTTTCATGATTACATTTATTTTACAGCAAAGCACAAAAAGATAGGTCTATCATTTACTACGGAGAGTTTAGCAATGATTTACCTATATAAAGTAACTTTCACTTAATGAGCCTAAAGTGCTTGCATAATATTACAAACAGCAGACAAAGTTCTTGACATCCATAACTCACAGAAATATTTTTGCGCACATCTCCCATAGATAAAGGTCACAGTTTAATTGACCAGCTACATTGTCTCTCTGTCCTCCACTGAAATGCGGCCACTTCTAAACAAGATGGGAGCAGAGTTTATAGCATGCACCTGGCCCAAAGTAACAAGTCAGGTAGAACATCCCTGTAACCACTGAAATTATAAGAAACTTTTACACAGTCTGTAAGAAACTGCCCAATTCAAAACTAAGTGGTGCTACTAAGCTCAAAACTGCTCTCTAGTATAACAAGTTATATTGTGGGTCAAATTCTCAACAGCTTTCACTCAGCATAGGTTGGTTTCAGCCAGGGCTGATTAAGGCCAGCTGAGAATGTGGTCCAGGTTACTTAATAGCTGGTAACAACTTCAGTTCTGTGTAACATCACAGCAAAAGGGTGTCAGAAATAAGCATAACTGTTAAATAAAGCAACAGCCCTTGCTCAACAGAGGTCACTGATCTGCTCTCAGGCAGACATAAAAATACTGAAATGCACAAGATGTGGAAATAAGGCCCACAGTCTGACGCAAGCGCTTCCTTCTCCCTTCAGAAGTTGCTGACAAATTTACCTAAGCAAACAACTATTGGTAAGCAAGCATCTACCGCTGCTCAATGTAACGGATATAAAAAGACCATTTCATGTAAGGATGCCATTTAACGAAAGATCAATCATATTATGAGTAAAGCTTGAGCTTTCAATTATGGATGGCCAAATTTAGAGTTAGAACTCTGGATGTTCAGGATGACTGATATAAAAGAAAAGAAAAAAAACAAACAAACCAAGATTCACATTGAGGTGCCCAAATAAGCCATAAGTTTGAAAATACTAGCCAAAGTTTTTGTAAAAGGAGCTATTCCCTCCCCCCCCCACCCCGGTTTTAAAGTCACATCTGATATTTAACCCCTTGATGCTGTCAGTCCTGGTGCTTTCTAGAACCAACAACAGGACGCATGCCAAGAAATTGCGACTTCCGGTCTCAAAGGGCTAGAGGAAACTGTTTGGAAGGGAGTTTAACACGTACCATATTTTCTTTCAAATAATTCTTCAACCTGTTTTCTCAAGTCTGTAATTCGGGCATTCCATTTCTCTGAAAAGAGAAAAGGAGGATGGATTAGACAACAAACAAGACTGAGCTTTTTCACAAAAAGACTGCTCTACGACTGGATACTGGAATATGCAGTGCGCCTTTAGAGCTCACGTGCACGCAGATGCTTGTTGGGGTCTGGTAGACATTCTACATCTCAAGATTTAGGCGTGTATTACCAGAAAAGGAGGGGGGGGCGGAGGAGGGACAGAATGAAATGCTTAAGATTACCTTCAAAACTTGTGCGATGTCAAACCAAGTTTTAAAAAAATCAGAGGACAAAAAGTTAAACTACAGTTAATCCAAAAAAGGGTTCTCTAACATCAGCAGCTCATACCACCATTGGGGGTAAAGCCAATTTGTGGTAGCTGTTGACAGTTATCTATGTCTAGGGGCTTTTAAAAAACAAACCAACACTTAATTAGGGAAGCTTGATAAGGTTTACATTGGAGTACATCAAGTAGTTTTGGTGCAAATCTGTAAAGCTACAGAGGACAGAAGCCATCCTCTTCCTTAATCCAGCATTTGCCCAAATCTGGATGTTGGCCAGATTTGCTAAACAAGCACAAATTCTAAAAGAAGATGCAGAAGATTCAAATCCAACTGCGCGTTCCTTGGAAAACTGGATTTAATGGCAGCATTTTAACAGTTTTGGCTGCGTTTCTTCTAGAGCGTACCTTGGTTTCACAGATTTGAGTGTCAATGCCTTTAGGAAAAGGCTGTACCTGATGCCGAATGGCCTTTAGTGACAATCTAATAAGCAAGAATGGAGAGGTCCAAAGAAAAAAATAAATAAATAAATCAGGCTACACTGATACATTATACCTCCTTTTGCTGAAACACAGGTTTCAGGTTCAAGTCAATATTTTAACTTCATTTCAAAGTGAAGCTTCATATGGGCATATATAGGCAACGCATCATTCAGATGACATTTTTAAAGATTATAATGGATAAGCAACTCCTTCAATGTCAAGAAGAGGCTGCATTTCAAAGTTAGGCATGAGTAAGGCCTTGTCTACACGGGAAAGATTTTTTGGAGTGTTGCATTAAACACACAAGAGCATTTTAGTCTAGTTGCCTGGCATCTCATCCTGCATTAATTAACCTGCACAGGAAGCAAAGTTACTCTATTGAAGATAGATTTTTTTTTCCTTCTGAATAAGATTTAAGATCCCTGTGGACACATCTGTATTATTTATTTCGCTTCTGGTAGTCCTTGGGCTCCTCTCGCAAACTGCACAACTCCTCAACCTGGATCAGCCTTTTTATCTGGATGCCCTCTACTGCTCTCAAGTCCTTTTGATCTGCTATCAATCCCTTGTTTAAAAGCTGACATGCAGCTAGGCTTGCAGCTTTGTAACTCTACCTTGTGGCACAGAGCCACACATTGTAGTCCTCATGGTCCCATACAGACCCAAGAGCATTGGGTGGGTAAGGGGAGGGAAGCCGGGTGCCACGTGCAACTCTAGGAGAGACGGAAGTGGGGTTATTAGACTCCCCAGCAGAAATCCATCTTCCGCTGCATGGAAATCTCTCATGGGAATCCTTGCTGTAACCATGAGCTCTGGTGGATACATGGACAGTTTTGGTAAGGAGAGCCTGGGAAAGACACTCAAACAACTCCAGACTGCAATCAGGAGGAAAAAATCCCAGACCACGAGCCATTTTGGGCAAAGCCTCTCACTACTTGCTTGGCTTCCATCTTTACCTTTAGCATCCTCAAAATGGCATCCACACAAGAAACTTTAAGCTGTCAAGAATTTATTTCCTTGAAATACTGAACTGAACAACCAGTGGCCAATGTGCTGCCACACCAGTCTGTGCAGTTCTCCTTCTCAGCCAATTTTATGATTCATCCCCTGGGATGGCAGCACTAGGAGTTAAACATCAAGCACGCTACAATTCAAGAATATTTATTTGCAAGGGCAGATGCAGGAAAAAAAAAAAAAAAAGCAACTGAAAAAGTACTCTGGCTCACAGCGGGCACGTCTACACGACACGCTATGTTTCCGCTGTGACAAGCTAGTGACATAGCATCGGCAGGCACTAACCACGATGCCATTGCTCCTGCACAGCAGCAACAAACTACTGTACAGTAATTCATTGCTACTGCACAGTAGGGTCAAAAACAACCCATCTGCTGCCAAGACTGCACAATACCAGCAGGTACTGCGCAGTCAGGTACACGTGTAGACATTCCCAGTGCGATCAGTGCCCCGAGCTTTTACCTACCTTTACAGTTTATGAGGTAATTTGCCAAAATTAGGCTACAAAGACATTTCAAAATATAGAAGGATACAAGAAGACGTTCATACGGCTATATTAAATCTTCAGCATTACTAATCCATTTGAAACCAGTTACTGAAAAAAAATCGTTATTTTATTGTAATGCATTTCATGCTACTCCCTGCGAGTTAGGTGCAGAATTCAAGGCTAAGCTACTGCCTGAATTTGGTGCATGCACTGTCCAAAGCAATACAGATTCCTTGGGGCAACCAGATCACCCTCAGCACTGCCCAGCA